GCTTACTCACCAGAGAGGGATAGAGTAAGAGAGGGAGAGGGAGAGGGAGAAAGTACCCTCTAGTGTAAAAGTCACATAGAAATCCCTTCTTCATTCTTCTGCCCTGTCTGGACTTTGGGAATGTACACACACATGTTAGGCATGTTTTTTTTAAACTATCAGAGGCCAGGGTTTGCACTACACAGTTGGCCATATGGAATTCAGCTGCCTTTAACCACTAGGCCACAGAGTCAATTCTCAGTGTTATTTAAGAAACTAATTTTGTAAGGCTATAGATGCCACAGATAGAGATTCCCCAAATGGATGTCATGACAACCAATTTATGTGTGGATTTATACTGAGTGCTAGTTTAAGAGGGAAAGAAAATTTTGTGACAGTCGGGTAAACTTGAATTTGGATGGATACTAAATGATATAGGAGAATAGTATGTTCCGAAGAAATTTAATCTGAAGTATTTAGGTTGAAATAGCATGAAACCTGCAATTCACTTTCAAATTGAACAGTAAGAAATGAAAGAGAAAAAGGTATAGAGAAGAAAATAAGGTGGTTTATTGTATTATCCTGGTAATTTGACATATACTGTGGGATCAACTATAAGTTATCGATTCTTAAATGTGTATTCCTATTATTGGTAGTTCTAAACCTGAAAAATTAATCCTGAATTCTTTTCATTCAGTGAATAACTTAATGTGGTCATTGTCTGGGGGAAGAATATGGCATAAGCACCACTAAACACTTTTATCATGGGACCCTTTTTACCAATATTTATGTACTAGTCATGTTGAGAACAGATAATATGTGCAAGGCAACAACCTTGCATACTTCTCACACAAAGATGCTAATTCAAACAAAAGCATTGATTTTTGTTCTCTTTTGCTTCTTTTTGAATTTACACAGCTGGTCATGCCTCCTCACTCCAACATCGAGTTGTCTGTTCACTTTCATCCTTCTGTACTTGGAAGAATAGGTCATCAAGCTTCTATCAACTTCCAATGTGCTCAGGTATGATAGAGTACTCTTGAACAAAGTCTAGTTAATTAATCAAAATAAATAAACATATCTAATTCATCTTGACATATTTTGGAAGTAAAATGAGTTATTATAATTCATTCATTTAATGAACTTTTGAAAATATATATAATATGTATGTGTAGTCATCGAAAGGTATTTTTAAATCTTAAGATTGCTTGAATGAAGAAAAACATACACCCAGATTGAAAACAGAGATATTTATTATGAAGGCCAAATCACTGACATTTATGTTAATTTTCTGACTTGGATTTTACTATTCAATTTCCATGAACTCCAATATAGAAGTATATAATCTTGCAAATATTATGTTATTTTTTCCATTTCATTTTATCTGTACAGTGTTTTTGAATAAAATCTTTTAAAACAATAGTTAATCAGGGTCAGCAGGTGGTATGGTGGTTGCAGCACTGGACTCCCATGGCTGACCATAGTTCAAGCCCTGGACCTGGTGGCTTGCTTTCTCACTTTCTGTCTCTCTCTCTAGTGAGCACACGTGTCCTATAGGAAATTTAAATATTACTAATAATGAATAAAACTAAATAAATTATTTTTAAAAAAGTTATTAATTTTTGAGCACCTCTAAATGTGTGCATGTTGTTCTTTTTTTTTTTTTTTTTTAAGGTTTTTGCCACAGGGCATGTATGCTCAATGGAGAGGATAGAGACAGTTAGAAGGAAAGTGAGAAATCACTCCCCACCTCACCGGGGGGATAGCCATGCCACAATCCCTTTTCCATTATCTTCTTGGGATTTTGGGCACTCATGCATACACACCGGGCATGATTTTCAAGCTGCCAGGTGCAGAACTTGAACTGCCATTGGCCATGTGGGAGTCAAGAGGCTCAACCACCATACCACCTGCTGGCCCCTCCTTTTTTTCTTTTTAAAGTTTGTTTATTCCATGAGAGAGAGAGAGAGCGAGTGAGAGAGACAGGGAGACAAGTAGCCTCAACAAGGCCCCCATCCCACAATCCATCCCCAGCCCAAGCTGCCTGGATCATAGGCATGTTTGTGCATGCCAGTATGCACAGGGAGGCCTCAGGAAATGAACCTAGAAGCTTCTCATGTGGGTCCAGTTTTGTTCCTGCTGTGTTACCTTCTAGCCCTGGGCTATATGTTATTCTAGAATCATCTCAATTCATTCTGACTAGAGAACTATAAAATAAGTATTATTATCAACCCTATTTCATGGTTCAAAAATCCTGGGTACAGTAAAATTAAGATTTAAAACAAACTGAGCTGAGATTTGAACTCAGGACATCTGACTATAACTCATCTTCAGGGCTACTTTTCACAGCTACCTACAGTTTGCTAAGTGATTATAATTCTCTTAACTGCCACCGAAAAAATGTGACATAACTGGTTACATTTATCATGTTTACTTCGGATTTGATGTAGAGAAATGTAAATGAAAGAATGTATTTATTCTAGGGTACATCAAGGAGCTCATAAAACCCTGACATTTGAGGGACATTGGTATCAAATATAATGCAAGGGTCGTGACTGTCAGTACAGGGTCTGTGAGTGATTGAAGTGTCCTCTTTTCCAAAAATAATTTTGTTATTTGTTTTTAGAAAAATTGTTTTGAGGCTATTAAATGTCCTGTATAATAACTGATTTAGATGTGACTTAAAATGAATGCCATGGAATATGCTTGATTTTCAAAATTATTATAAGAAACCAACAGTAATCCTTCTCATACAGAAGGAAAACATATAGTGAGTAAATTTTTCTTTTACATAGATAATTTTAACTAGGCTGATGTTTAAAGTGATTGCTTCATAGCAGAGTAGAGCCCCTTCACCTCAACTATCAGAGACAATTTAGTTGCTCATATTTATGGTGGAAAGTGTATCTGTTTAAGCACAATCTTGCAAGTCAGTAAGGCATTTATCAGTTCTTCATCTTAATAGCTTTAGAAAATCCTAGCTTAGAAGTTGAATGTTAAATTCTTTATCAGACACAAAAGAATTCAAACAAGTAAATAATCGACTCAAACCTTTCATGATTCAGTTGAACGCTGGTGCTTGATTTCAGTTACTCTGAGTATCTCCTTCCAAGTTGTAGCTAATCTCTAAGGATTCATCTATGGTTAAACTTCAATCAATAATTCATTCTTTCAGCTACTGGCTCCAGAGCCCTTCAACCTTTTCAATGTATTGCTCTAACCTTTGTGATTTTTCTTGCCCTTTTTATCCCTGAATCATCTGAGTCTTCCTCTTTTATTTAATTCATCCAGTTGACATCCTTTGCAAGCAAAATCAGTTCATATAAAGTATTAATTGAATGAACTTTTGAAAATACAGTATGTTTATGTATGAGCAGGAATATAAAGAAGGCTTTTTCTAAAAAAGAAAAAATAAAGCTTAGAGTTTATTTTTCTAAGTCTAAAAGTTTGGAATCACTCTTTACCATTAGGGAAAATTCCACACAAATTTCCGTCACTCTCAATTTAATTGCTTAAATCTATCTGAACTGACGTACAATGGAGTGACTGATTAAGGATCTCTAATTGTGCCTTTGCTGAACTAAGGGATGTGCTATGGTTTCTTTTTTATGTTATTTTTATATTTTTTACATTACATTTAATCACATATATCTTTACAGTGTATTACATTTCTTTTTCCAGCATGGTTACCATGCATATCAGTCAAGACAAAGACATTACTATCCACATGACGTTACCTTCTAGCCCTGGGCTATATGTTATTCTAGAATCATCTCAATTCATTCTGACTAGAGAACTATAAAATAAGTATTATTATCAACCCTATTTCATGGTTCAAAAATCCTGGGTACAGTAAAATTAAGATTTAAAACAAACTGAGCTGAGATTTGAACTCAGGACATCTGACTATAACTCATCTTCAGGGCTACTTTTCACAGCTACCTACAGTTTGCTAAGTGATTATAATTCTCTTAACTGCCACCGAAAAAATGTGACATAACTGGTTACATTTATCATGTTTACTTCGGATTTGATGTAGAGAAATGTAAATGAAAGAATGTATTTATTCTAGGGTACATCAAGGAGCTCATAAAACCCTGACATTTGAGGGACATTGGTATCAAATATAATGCAAGGGTCGTGACTGTCAGTACAGGGTCTGTGAGTGATTGAAGTGTCCTCTTTTCCAAAAATAATTTTGTTATTTGTTTTTAGAAAAATTGTTTTGAGGCTATTAAATGTCCTGTATAATAACTGATTTAGATGTGACTTAAAATGAATGCCATGGAATATGCTTGATTTTCAAAATTATTATAAGAAACCAACAGTAATCCTTCTCATACAGAAGGAAAACATATAGTGAGTAAATTTTTCTTTTACATAGATAATTTTAACTAGGCTGATGTTTAAAGTGATTGCTTCATAGCAGAGTAGAGCCCCTTCATCTCAACTATCAGAGACAATTTAGTTGCTCATATTTATGGTGGAAAGTGTATCTGTTTAAGCACAATCTTGCAAGTCAGTAAGGCATTTATCAGTTCTTCATCTTAATAGCTTTAGAAAATCCTAGCTTAGAAGTTGAATGTTAAATTCTTTATCAGACACAAAAGAATTCAAACAAGTAAATAATCGACTCAAACCTTTCATGATTCAGTTGAACGCTGGTGCTTGATTTCAGTTACTCTGAGTATCTCCTTCCAAGTTGTAGCTAATCTCTAAGGATTCATCTATGGTTAAACTTCAATCAATAATTCATTCTTTCAGCTACTGGCTCCAGAGCCCTTCACCCTTTTCAATGTATTGCTCTAATCTTTGTGATTTTTCTTGCCCTTTTTATCCCTGAATCATCTGAGTCTTCCTCTTTTATTTAATTCATCCAGTTGACATCCTTTGCAAGCAAAATCAGTTCATATAAAGTATTAATTGAATGAACTTTTGAAAATACAGTATGTTTATGTATGAGCAGGAATATAAAGAAGGCTTTTTCTAAAAAAGAAAAAATAAAGCTTAGAGTTTATTTTTCTAAGTCTAAAAGTTTGGAATCACTCTTTACCATTAGGGAAAATTCCACACAAATTTCCGTCACTCTCAATTTAATTGCTTAAATCTATCTGAACTGACGTACAATGGAGTGACTGATTAAGGATCTCTAATTGTGCCTTTGCTGAACTAAGGGACGTGCTATGGTTTCTTTTTTATGTTATTTTTATATTTTTTACATTACATTTAATCACATATATCTTTACAGTGTATTACATTTCTTTTTCCAGCATGGTTACCATGCATATCAGTCAAGACAAAGACATTACTATCCACATGACGGCTCCAAATGCTCCATTCGGTAGTGCTATGGTTTCTTATCTACTTCGTTTGTTTCTGGTTTAGACCCGTGTGAAGACCCCTACATTACAAAATTCTAACTTTAGGCTCAATCTGTTTGTGCAGATTTTGAATCCTGAGGTGAACTTGATTAGGACTTTACAACTGCAAACATCATAAACTTGTATTAGACTGCCGAGTTTCTAAATGTGATTATGTTACTGCTTAACAGAATAAGAGTTACTGTAGTACACAGCAAATGTCATTGGAACTTCTCTTTGGTCTCAAACATTATGTTCTGAGATTTTCTTTCTTCATTTTCAGATATTTCATTTCTGTTTTCAGATAGTCGCCTTGTTTGTTTCATTCATACTGGATTGTGTGACTCGTTTCATCTAAAGGTCAGAATAGCAAAAATGAGGAAGAAGATATAAAATCAGAGTGGTTTTCTAGCCCAGCTGAGTCTATGATTCCTATAGTTTGTGTCTATGCAAAGTTGTACTGATTCCCAGCAAGCTTTAATCCCCTAGAGCAATATGCAATCCAGATATACTCTTTTACTTCTCCTTGTTTTACTTTTCAGAAACAGTTGAATTGAATCTTTGAAAGTTTTGCTGTCTCTCCTTTAGAAGTTTGAGATAAATATGGTATATATATATATATGTGTGTGTGTGTGTGTGTGTGTGTGTGTGTGTATTTAGCATACATGTTCACTGTGTTACTTTTTAATTTCCCTCTCTGAACTCAAGTGGATAATTTAATCATACAAAGGACAACTGGGGGATACCAGTCTTCAGTAATGGCAAGATGGGGTTTAACATAGAAATTTAAGTATTCTAGGTTACTTGAGGAAACATGACTCTCTTTTTGTGTTTTGTCTTATGCCTAGGGGTTAAAAGTAATATGATTCCTTCAATTTGGATTTGTCTTTATAACATAGCCAAAAAGTTAATAATTTACTTAAACCAGTTGTTGATTTAATTTAACCCTGATTCTTGATTTCAGTCAGCTAATTATGTGAAATTAAGTTAGGACATTATAATTGAAATTATAATGAACATATTATGCCAGTAGAATCTATTAGTAATAGAGTCAACTGGAGATAACATGCAGAAAAAATTTATTTTTAACGTGGCTCCCTACTAAGAGAAAGCATTTTATGGATTTCCTGTCACCATCTATCTTAATTTGAAACAATCTTAAATTTTCCCTCTTTTAAGGCTGGAAATAATCTGTTTCTAACTAATGTCTTAGAAAAGTAGTTAGAAACTAAAACATTGTTCATTGCTTTTTCTCAATAGCCTCTTTATTCATCTGCAACATTAGCAAAGTGTTTGGTACAGAAGCATAATATACCTAGAAATAAGTCACAGTCTGTTCTCTTCTCAAGGGATTTTTATTCTAAATGATTACAAACAGAACAATTTCAAACAGAGATTTGCAGGGTTACAAATTGCACATAAAAAACCAATAATCACATTTAATCTCTTTCACATAAGTTTTGAGCCATTTGTCCATATTATGTGAGAACAGAAAATATACTATACTAGATGATGAAAATAAATACTATGACATTCAGTTATACTCACTTCTGTTCGTCCCTCCACCCCCCCACCATAGGGCACATGCATTTACCAGAGATAGATAGACAGAGACAGAGAAAGGGAAACTGAGAAATTATCCCCCAGGAAGAATGGCCACACTGGCAATCCCTACTCCTCCATTCTCCTCTCGGGATTTTTGGGCATGCACACACCTGTGCCCAGCATGATTTTCAGGTTTTTTTTTTTCTTTTTTTAAGAATTATTTTTTTGAACTTTAGTTTTTAAATTTATATATTTATTTTAATTTGACCAGAGAGGGACAGAGTAAGAGAAAGAGAGAGAAGGAAAGCCGCTAAATCTGGGACTTTAACCACGGTAGACCATGTGGGAGTCCAGTGCCCTTAACCACCATGCCACCTGCCAGTCCCCCCAGCATGATTTTCAAGCCACTGGATCCAGGGCTTGAACCATGGTTGATCATGTGGGAATCCAGTGCCTTAACCATCATGCCACCTGCTGGCTCTACACACTTCCTTTGAACAAGACTCCAATCTGTGTCTCACCATCTTTGCTTTCATGTGATAGCTATCTGAATTTTGTTGAAATTCATCATAAGCTTTTGTTTAATACCCAGTTGTTTTTGTTTTTGTTTTAGAGGAAGAGATTTTTGCTATAGGACACATGTGCTTGCCAGGGAGATAGAAAGTGAGAAACCACTCCCCAGGGGTGATGACCATGCCGCAATCCCTTCTCCATTCTCCTCTCGAGATTTTTGGGCATGCATGCACATGTGCCCAGCCATGCATTTTAAGCTGTCAGGTCTGGAATTTGAACTGCAGTTGACTATGTGGGAATCCAGAGACATAATCGTTACGCTATCTGCTGGTCCCTAATACCCAGTTTATTAGACACACTGATTAAAAAAAAAAAGAAAAGAAAAGAAAAAAGAAACTCTGAAAAGAAATGCAGTTTTCCATTAAAATTTCTCTAATATGCTACTATAATTTTATATGCATTGAAATATGTTTGGTATATGAATATTTGTCTTTTGTCCTCTTTTTCTTTTCAATGCAAAAACACATATAAAGATTTTTCAATAAAATTTTTAAAAATTCAGAAAAGAAAGGAAAAGTGGAACAATATGTGTTAAATATTAAAACAAAACTTTTCTTATCTGCCCCAAATTTTATGTGTATTACATTTAAGTGTTGCAAATAAAATATATATACAATTAGGACAAATATGTTATGACTGTTTGTCTCCACACAGTTTGATGAGTGGAAATTCTACCTCTCTGGAATAGGACTATTCCCCCAGCCTCTAGAGACAGAAAGAATGATCACAAACCTTGGTTTTCCTTCATCTATTGTTATAAACTTTAAAAATCCAACCAAGGAAAATGTTCTCATTGATATCACACTAACAAGTAAGTCTTACTTTATATAATTATATATATATGTGATATTTATAAAATGTAATTTATAAAATATAAAGAAAACGTTGTATATATTTATATATTTATGCATATATTTATTACTTTATTATTACAAATTCAAAAATTTTAGAGGGATGGCCATGCCACAATCCCTTCTCCTCTATTCTCCTCTCGGGATCTTGGGCACGCACGCACACGTGCCCAGTGTGAGTTTTAAGCCACTGGGTCTGGGACACGAACTGCGGTCGACTACATGGGAGTCCAGCAACATAGCCATTACGCTAACTGCTGGTCACAACAATGTAATCTTATGAAAAAGAAAACATAAAATTTAAGAGATGAAGTATTTACTGAAATTAATGGCTAGTAAATATTATGCCAGAATCAGAATTAGGAATGTTTATATGAAGTCAAGTTTGTTCAAATTTTATCTGTAATCTCATATGAAATAGGTAAATTAGTACATCTGTAAAATTCTTATAAGTTACACAATTATATCAATGCTTATTCTTCAAAAGCTTATAGAAATTTTTTAAAGAATTATTTATTTATTTATTTTTATTCTTTTTATTTTTATTTTCACATGCGTTTTGCCAGAGAAAGACACAGATAGAAAGAGAGAGAGAGAGAGAGAGAGAGAAAGCCACCAGATCTGGGACTCGAACCATGGTCACCTATGTGGGAATTCCAGCACCTTAACCACCATGCCACTTGCTGGCCCACTTACAGAAATTTACTAATGTGATTTTGTTTCTTATCTCCATTTCTTAATAACTAGACAATAATTTGGATTATATTTTGATTCTAACTATATTTGTCCTTTTTAATTTCAAATTAAATCCTAAGAAGCATTTTCTTACTTTGTATTAAATGACTATATAACATGTATTCAAAATAAAAACCCATAATGAGTTTTATGAAACGTAGTTTACATCTAACATTTGATATTAGCAATCTGTGTTTTGAACCATTATTGCTACTTTTACTAGTGGAATTGTTGGTTTACAGTTATGCATGTGTTAAGATTTTTTGTATAAGACCAGCCAGCATACTCCTTAGAGTGGTTATATGGTTGCAATTCACATTGCTACCAGGAATGTATTATGGGCATTACCTATTTTCCTGAGCCTTGTGAGTCCTGAGTAGTAGCAATCTCCATCAATCTGGTTGGGGGAAAGTTACATCCACCACCATTGTAAATTTACTATTTTTAAATTAATGTTGAAGCTAAACACTTTATCATTTACCCATTGGAGTTTTGGTCTTTTCTGATCATCTCTTCATGCTCTTTGTATGAAATAATTTTAAAAAATTGATAAAGTAATGTAGTTGCATGTAAAGTTCCCTTATAAAAACTTGGGCTGGGGACCAGCAGTTAGTGTTAATGGCTATGTCGCTGGACTTCCACGTAGTCAACCGCGGTTTGAGTCCTGGACCCGGTGGCTTAAATTCACGCCAGGTGCGTGTGCATGTGTGCCCAAGATCCTGAGAGGAGAATGGAGGAGAAGGGATTGCAGCGTGGCCATCCCCCCTGGGGGGTGATTTCTCGCTTTCTGTCTCTCTATTTCTCTCTGTCTGTCTGGCGAGTGCACGTGCCCTATAGCAAAAAAACTCTCAAAAAAAATAAATAAAAACTTGGGCTGTGATAAGGAGGCAAGCAGAATTTAGTAAAAGTTGATTTCAGGCTCAGGAAATCCTCAGTTTAAGTTGGAAGAAGAGATTTGACCATATGTATAAAGCAGCAGGAAGAAGCCAGGGTTGAACAGGAGTTAAAGGTATAAAGGAGGTAAGATTTAACTGATGTGCTAAGACTGGGAGGACTAGGGTCAGAGTCCAGGTAGAAAGAAGGTAGAACGATGAACAGGAAGACCATTTCCACATTTGGACAGGTGGGGGTAAGATAAAACAAATGTCAGTATAGATAAAATTGGTAGAGAGTAGAAGGACTTAGGAATTAAGAGTAGTTATGTTTAACATTTTCATCCAATAAGGAGAAATAGTAGGGACTTTTTAAAAAAATAATTATTTATTTTCATTTATTCATTCATTTATTTTAATTGGCCAGAGAGAGACAGAGAGAAAGAGGGAAAGTGAGAAAGCAAGCCACTAGGTCTGGGACTCGAACCATGGTCAGCCATGTGGGGGTGTCCAGTGCCTTAACCACCACACTATCTCTGGCCCCAGTAGGGACTTTTTTAGAGTGGAGAAGTGGTTTGAAATAACTAATAGAGAGTAAACTGTCGGGTTCAGAATTCCTGGAGTGTGAGCACGTGAGGTAGAACAATGGATCTTTCCAAGCAATAGAATTTTTAGGTCAGATGTAGTCAAATGACTTCATAACTATGGCAGAGTTGTAAAAAACACAAGTGGTTAAAATGTTTTTTAAAACCTCTGCAATTATTAGTTTATTAGTATCATCCAGGACTCAGATGTTCAGTATTCCTCCTGAAATGACATAAACAAATGCAAATGGAAAGAATCCAAGTCAAAATTATATAACAAAAACAGCACTCCATCACAAATGCGTGTAAAATTACAAGAATGCTATTTTAAAACACTGGCACTTTAAGAGAAAGATAATCTTAAACCACAAAATTGCCAAATTGTTCCCTAAACTGTTAAGCAGATAAGCATGACTCTAATGAATGAGTTTGGGTTTCGTAAAGAAAAATCAAATTCGAATAAATTGGCTAATTCGTACTGACATGCAAAGTTTGTGTCTTCGTTCTTCATGTCTATCTGATTTATAAAGGGGCAAACCACAATAGAATGTTTCCCCATTTTAAAATGTGGCATCGTTTTAAACGCTGGCCCAATTAATTAATTAATTAATTTCCTGAGCAGTCCATATTTAGATAAATGGGAAATGACATTTACAGCCAACACTTTCATAGCCTTTGCTGGAACCAAGGTCAACACAAAACTTTAATACGGTAGTCTTGTATTTTAAGCTCACGCTTTTGGGGATACATTGTAGTCTTCTTTAATGTGGGAACTGCAAAAATATAACTGCCATTACATGGTAATGGGAGTTAAAGAATATAGAGTCCTCATGTAAAGATTACAACACACTTTTCTATATTTATCCTTCAAGGACAGCTTTCAAAATGTTTGATTCTAATAATCTCATGTTGTGAGTAGACTGGTTACTCTTCACTTTATAAATGTTAAAAATTTAACATTAAAAATAAATTATGAAATGATCTGTGGCCTCCTAATTTTATAAAATTGTTCTAACATTCTTACTGCTAGATAAAAGGAAAAAATAGTAAGCTTGATGATGAAAAGTTTATCAGTCTTTTGTAATTCAAAATTCTCTCTCTCTCTTTTTCTTTTAACTTGCTATAGGGTGCATGGGCTCACCAGGGAGAGAGAGAGAGAGAGCGAGAGAGAGAGAGAGAGAGAGAATAATCCCCAAGGAAGGTGGCCCTGCCACAATCCCTTCTCCATTCTCCTGTCAGGATATGGACGTGCATGCATACATGCTTGACATATTTTTCATGCCACCCGGTCTGGTACTTGAAACTGCACAGTTGGCTATGTGAGATCCAGCCGCCTCAACCACTATGACACTGGCTGGCCCCCAAAGCATCTCTTTTCAATAAACTCCTTCTCTTGGGTAAATGTTTAATCTCTCATACTCCCCCTTTTTTTCCTTTAACCTGAGGAAATCGGAGGCAAAGAAACTCACTGACCTCTGATAATTTATCTCACCTCTTCAATGTAAAAAGAGTCCTCCTTCCCTTTTCTTGTTGATAAAGCTTTCCTCTCTGTCATATCCTCCTTTTTTGGACTTTATGCATAATTTATTGCAAAGACCATTTTCCCTCTAATAGATTATTTTAGTATCTCTGTCAAAAATAAACTGGATGTATTTATGTGGGTTTATTCATTGGTTTTTGCTGTTCCATTGGTTTATGTGTCTGTTCATTGGTCTATATCATACATGTTTTGTTATTATAGCTTTGTAGTATATTCGATATCAGGTAATCCAGCTCCAATCTGTTTGCTCAGCATTACTTTAGGCATTAGGGTCTTTTGTAATTGCATACAAATTTTATGATTACTTTTTCTATTTCTATGGAGAATGTCATTAATAACTTAATAGGTACTGCTTTGAATCTCTAGATTGTTTATGGTAGTATAGACATTTGAATGATACTGATTCTTCCAATACATGAACATGAATGTCTTTTTTTTCTGTGTCTTCTTCAATTTCTTCCACCATTGGTTTAAAAAATTTTTTAAATTATTTTATTCAATTTTATTCATTGTCCTTATTTTATTTTATTGAAGTTGACCAGAGAGAGAGAAAGAGAGAAGGAAAGTGAGAAAGCAAGCTGCCCAGTCCAGGACTTGAACCACAGTCAGGAATATATGCATGAATGCCCAAGATCCCCATAAGAGAGTGGAGGACAAGAGATTGTGGCATGGCCATCCCCTCTGGGGGGTGATTTCTCACTCTCTTCCCCCCCCTGCTCTCTCTATATATATCTCTAAATATCTCTCTCTCTAGTGAGCACATGTGCTCTATAGTAAAAACTGGAACAAAAAACAACCAACCAAAAAAAGAAAGAAAAAACAGAGTACAGTATATTGTTTGCAAACAGGGACAGCTGAACTTCCTCTTTTGCAATTCGGATGACCATTATTTTTTTCTCCTGCTTAATTTCTCTGAGTAAGAATTCTGATATGTGTTGAATAAAAGTGGTAAAAGTGGACATTCCTGCCTTGTTCCAGTTCTTTCAGCTTTTTCCCATTCAGTATGAGGTTAGCTGTTCATTAGTCATACAAAACCTTTACTGTGTTGAGGTACACTTCTACTCCTAATTTGTTGAATGTTTATCTTAAAGGAATGTTGTATTTTGTCAAATTATTTTTCTGCACTTATTGAGATGGTTTTTGTACTTCATTTTGTTGATATGGTGTATTGCATTTATAGATTCGCATATGTTGCATCATGGTGATAAAACCCACTTGGTCATTGTGAATAATCTTTTTGATGTTCTGTTGAAGTCAACTTACTAGTATTTTTTTTTTTTGAGGATTTTTGTATCTATGTATGTTAGGGATATTGATCTGCAGTTTTGTTTTTCTCATTATGTCTTTGTCTAGTTGTATCAGCATTTCAGTCTTTTAGAATGAGTTTGGGAGAGTTCAGTCCACTTCAAATTTTGGAATAGTTTGAGAAACATTAGTATTAGCTCTTTTTTAAAGAGTTTATAGAATGCATCGGTGAAATCATCTGGTACTGGAATTTGCTTTGTTGAAAAACCTTTTATTGCTAATTCAATGTCATTTCTTGTTATTGAGCTATTCATTTTTTCTTTTTCTTCCTTGTTCTGTCTTGGTAGGTTGTATGTGTCCAGGAATTTATCTGTTTTATCTATATTCTTTAGTTTGTTGGTACATAGTATTCATAATAGTCTCTTATTCTTGTATTTCTGTTGCATCAATAGTAATGTCTCTTTTTTTGTGTGTGTATTTATTTACTTATTTATTTATGTATGTATGTATTTTAATTTGACCAGAGAGAGGGAAAATGAAAAAGCAAGCCTCCAGATCCAGGACTCAAATTGCAGTCAGCCATGTGGGAGTAAAGTACCTTAGCCACCATGTCACCTCCTGGCCCCTGTTTGGTTCTTTTTTATAATTTCCTCTTTCTCAAATTTCTCATTTTGGACTTGTATTGTTTTCTTGATATTATTGAATTATATATCAGTATTTTCTTTTATCTTGAATAACTTTGGAATCATTCCATATCAATTCCTTTCAGGCATGTAAGGAATTTACTTATCTTTGGGATTCATTACTAGAGAATTATTGTGTCCCTTTGGAGATGTTAAGTTTCCTTGCTTTTTCATGTTTGTTGCAACCGTACATTGATATCTGTGTATTTGGTAGGATAGTTGTCTCTTAAAATTTGGGAAAGGTAGCTTTCTTAGTGGAAGATATTTTTTCTTGAGGATATGTCCTTTAGTCCTTTAGTGTTGATTGGATCGAGTGTTTTGGTTTTGAGTGGGTGTAGTTATTTACTTTGCAGGTTTTCTTCCATTATATTCACTGACGAGGGTGACTGTTGAGTGCCTTCTTGTTCAAGATTTCACATGTTTTGGGACAAGCAGTTAGTGTAATGGCTATGTTGCTGAACTCCTATGTAGTCGACCGCGGTTTGAGTCCCAGACCCGATGGCTTAAACTCACGCTGGGCACGTGCGTGTGCATGCCCAAAATCCCAAGAGGAGAATGGAAGAGAAAGGATTGCGGCATGGCCATTCCCCCTGGGGGTTGTTTCTCGCTTTCTATCTCTCTGTCTCTCTCTGTCTTTCTGGCGAGCGCACCCGCCCTACAGCAAAAACCTCTCCCCAAAAAATAAAAAAGATTTCATGTGTTTGTGGTAGTAGTGGTACAATTGTGTTGGGTTTGGGGATCACCATGTAAGCTACTTGACTGTAAGAAATGGTTGTAGCTAGGACTATTACCTTGCAGTCTCTACAGAGTCTGTTGACATCATTAGTGAGGGGGGCCCAGCCACTCTGAATGACAAGGCTGAAATTGCTGGCTTGCAGAGACTGGAGATCCCTCACTGACCGGTAGAACTTATATACTGTGACAATGGCAGGTATTGGACTTAGCAATGGTCAGGAGCAGGGCTCAGCCAAATCTGGAAGATTTCTATAAAGGGGAAGGTTCCATGTGCAAGCTGCAGTGCATATTCTGGCTTGGCACCTGTCTGTTGCAGAGGGTTGCAGCTCCTGGAGGGTTCCAGGGTTCCTACAACAAGGCTAGATCTTTTGCTCTGGAGATGCTATAGGACCTGGGTCCAGGTAAAGTCAGGGGCTATGGGGGCCAAGGCTAGAGGGCTGCCATAAGAGGCAGGAGCTTTGTGCTCAAAATACCATAAAAGCTGGGCCCAGAGCAAACCAAGGGATATACGGAGGACCCCAGCAGGAGACAAAGGCCATGCCTTAGAACTGTGTCATGAGGCAGGTCCAAGGCAAGCTGGAGGCTGAGGAGGTAGAGGATAGAGGATCCTGAAGGAGTCAGCGATTGTACACTTAAGATGCTTCAAGAATCAAGTCCAGGGCAATCTGGGGGATATAGGACCTCAGGTTGGAGGACCCCTATAGGAGACAGAGGCGACGCACTAGGACTGGCATGTAAGTCAGGCCCAGGGCAAGCTGGGAGGAGATAAGTGTTAGGTACTTCCTGTTTGCCATTTTGATCTATTCCTCAATATTTTTAGTATTACAGAGAAAATAATTTATGATATTAGACATGTTTTCTCAAAAACGCCATTTAAATCTCATTTCAAAGTATATTGAAAAATATTTATGTGAAGTTCTCTATTAGAGAATTTTCATTCTGTTTTCATCTTTACCTATGTTTTCTTCTTAAATGTGACATTGAAGTATAATATCTTTATTTTTTAAATATTTTATGAATATCCAAGGAATATAATCATTGACCAGCGCTGGTATAGCTTCATCAACGAAAATCCTGCCTTCAAGTTTACTAATTTGAGTCAAACAAAAGGTAAGATCTCTAATATATATTCTGTCATCCTATTATATATGCTCTTGCATTCTTGCATTTCAGAGATAATAAATATTTAATACAAATTTAAAATATAATATTAAATTTTTGATAAAGATTTTAGTTAAATTAAGGGAACAGCAGACAGCATAATGGTTATGTTGCTGGACTCCCACATAATCAACCATGGTTCAAGTCCTGGACCCGGCAATTTAAAACTCATGTTGGTGTGTGCCTGCATGCCCAAAATCCTGAGAGGAGAGGAGAATAGAAGAGAAGGGACTGTGGAGTGGCCATCCTCCCTTGGGGGTTGATTTCTCACTTTCTGTCTCTCTGGCAAGCACATACACCCTATAGCAAAAATTTCTCTCTCAAAAAAAAAATTTAGCAAGTTGATAAAAAAAAGCATGGCTACTATAACCTTTCTATGTATTTATTACATTTTTGTTTTTTTTCATTCCATTGCACATAAATAAGACTTGCCTGATAAATTTATTTTTGAAATTTTGAATGATTGCCTAATAACTAGTCTATTACAATTATTTATAATTATGAAAAATAACTGCATCTTTGCAAAGCTAATGATTATATGCAAATTTGTTACAAGGTGTATGTTTATTTCTTTTATATATTAACCATCTCACCTGCATATTCATGAACAGAAAAAAAATCTAAGAAATAATGAAGTTGCTTAAAATCTAAATCTCAAGAATTATAAATTTGCTTAAAAATAATGTTTTATAAATTGAAAATGTCATTTTCTTTGCAAAACCTTAAAATAGGAATTTGAACAATTCACAAAAGAGGAAGTATAGATGGACAAAGAATGGTTGAAACTGTTTAATGTCACTAATAATCAAATAGATGTTGAAATAATGACCACCTGTTTTCTTCGTTTTTGTGTTTTCATGAAACTACTGTTAATGTTTACATTTATATAAATTGGGAAAATTGGAATAATCAAACTGTTTATGGAAATACAAGTTGCTGTGTAGTTTCTGAAAAGTGCTTTTTGTAATATTTTTAAAGAGCCTTTGAAATTATTATCCCAGGAATCCCAATTCTGTTGAGATCTTTTAAAGACATAATCAAAATATGTTCAACGTATGTACAGAGATATTTGATTATATTAGGTCGTTGGGAAAGACATGATGTATTTTCCTATATTTTTCTATGAAAAAAATGAATCATGACTCCTGATGACCCAATAATACAAAAAAAAATTGAAAACTACCTTAAGGTCAAAATCAAAACCTCGATGTACTTGTAGCAACTGCAATTATGTCTGCTTATAATTAATTTAACTTATCTGTTAAATATATGAGCCATTTCCTTTTTAAAAATTGTTGGTGTTATACTTTTTTGCTTTCAATTACTCTATACTTTTAATGTCTTTCTGCATCATAAAAATCAG